TAACTAGTTCGAGAGTTCCAATAATATCTCCTTCCTTTATTTTTACTGTTTCAGAAGAAACATTGACAATTCTTATCATAATGTCTCCATTAGTTCTCACTAGATTCTTTCCAACGAGAAATTTTTCTGGTTTATCTCCAATAAAAGTATGTGTTATTCCAACGCAGCAGCCAGAGTTTGTTTCCAATTTTCCACAAATGAGCTTCTCAGTACTCCCAGGGTAATTTACACAATCGGTTGTCTCTTTTGATGATTGTCACTGTAATAATAGATATAGTTCTATTTAAATTAATGAACACAGTAGACTGTGTACATCACTTATAATAAATATATAGGTGAGTTTCAGTTGTTATGTTGACATGGAAATAATAATAATTGTTAGACATAATTCACATCATATTCATAATTCAATAAAGAACTTTATTTACGACTAATGTATAATGTAAGTATTATATTTGTGATTTTGGCAGTATAATGACATTTGTTATTCCCCCAGGGAATAATGACGAGTAGCGGGAATAATGGTCATTATTCCTCAAAAGTGTCAGTGTCAAACGTTTAGTGCTTGTGGTTTTGTATTGAGAATTGAGACGTATGAAATGTGTTCATTAAAAACCTCAAATAAATGAATTTGTCGTAAATGAAGTAGAGTATACTACTCGCAATAATGGCTATTATTCCCTCGGAATGTTACTCCCTCGCCGCTAACGCGGCTCAGTTCTTAAATATTCCTCGGGGATAATAGCTTTCATTATTGACTTGTGGTATAATCTACTATGATACAATATTGAGTATAACAATATTATTACATGGCGCAGTCGATGAAGAACCATTGGTGAGCATTTCTGAAAAGTAAAGTGGACGGAAGGTTACCCAGAACCAATAAAAACTGACGGAAACCTGAATGAAAATTTTGAAATGTTTTATCAAAACTTTGAGACCTACCTAATTGCAACTGGAAAGGATTCAAAGCCAGATAAGGTAAAAATTGCATTGTTTTTGAACCTAATTGGTTCTGATGGAGTTGAAATATATAACATATTAAAGATTCCAGATAAAGGTAAGTTTGACAGTGTCATAAATAAATTCAAAATGTACTGTGCTCCGAGACAAAATAAAACCCATGAACGTTTTTTATTCAATAGCCGTAATCAAGGTACAGATGAGCCATTTGATCATTTTTTCCGTGAGCTAAAAAAGTTAACTCAAAGCTGTGAATATGATACCCAAGAAGATAGTATTTTAATTGATAGGATCCTATTAGGAACAAATGATCCAAATCTTCAAGAAAAACTATTGAATATACAAAAACTGCTACTTGAAAAAGCAGAAGACATATCTTCGGTCTTATGACATACGGCCCCTTTCTCGAGATAGGGCCAAAATGAGCTAAGTTCATAGATATGTTGTATTTAGTGTATACTTGTTTTTAGCCAAGGGTCTTATCTTGAAATCAGGTCATTACATTGAAAAAGTGAGAAAATACATGGCCCTATCTTAAAATATGAATAGTTTTATCACAGCATAAAGGCGAATATCGAGACAGAAATGTTAACTACTATTTTGAAATGTGGTATTTGACAAGAAACTTACTACATGATTTGTTGTTAATAATTCCAAGAAAAAAGACCAAAAATCAGTATAGTTCTATGTATTATATTGGCGTGAAGATATTAGTTTTCTTTTAATTGCTCTCCTAAAAACTTGTAAAAAACGAGATAGGGCCTTATGTCCTGAGACTGACGATATGTAGAAATGCTGAACGAAACATCAGTTACAGTCAGTAAGAGAAAAAGAATGTTCTAGAGTAGATGCATTGAGGTTGAAAAGAGAAGAGAAAATAGATGGCATGATAAAAACCTTTCTCTGTCAAAAAAGCAACGGTAAACATGGATTTGCAGAATATCCTGCGTTTGGAAAAAAATGCTTCAAGTGTGGTAAAGACAATCATTATAGTAGTGTTTGTCTAGCAGAAAAATTTGAAAACCGTCAAGGATAGAACGTTAAAAAAATTAAAGAACTTGTTCAGAAAGAAATAGACAGTGACGACAGTGTAGAAGAAGGAACTGATGAATTATGTACATAGTATCAAGCAAGTTGGTGAAGTAAAAAATTAAAATAAAGTAGTATGAGTCGAAGATATAAAGGTATATGCTAAGAATATAAGTTTCAAGATTGATACAGGCTCTGAAGTGAATATATTACCACGGAAAATTTTACAAGGTTTTCGTAAGGCTAATGGGTATCACAAATTAAACAAATCTGGCATAATGTTAGAAGCATATGGTGGAACAAAGTTGAAACCAATAGGAAAAATTGAGTTGCCATGTACAAGGTCAGAAAAATTATTCAATTTAGAATTTATTATTGTAGATTAAGATGTCACACTAATAATTGGCCTATCAACATGCTAAATATTAGTGTTAATTAAAAAATCAGACACCATCAATATTTGTCAAACGCTTTCTCAGAATAAAGAGAAAATAATTTGTAAAATTAGGGATATTTTTGAGGGTATAGGCACTTTTCAGGATATTTGTAAAATATAGTTGATGGAAAATAGTATATCTGTAGCTAGACCTGCAAGGCAGATACCAATACTTATAAAAGATAGGTTGAAGCAAACATTATATAGATTAAAGACAAAATATCATAAGCAGAGTAGCTGAGGCAAGTAAGTGGGTGAATAATTTAATAATTATTGGAAAACCCAATAAATCCTTAAGATTGTGTTTAGATCCTCAAGACTTGAATAAGTACATTGGAAAGTAATTTTTTGAAATCCCTAGTCTGGAAGAAATTAATTCTATAGATTGGCAGGTGAGAAATATTTTTCTGTATTAGATTTCAAATATGGGTTTTATCAAATAAAACTGGATAAACCTTCTAGTAATTTAACAACATTTGCTACTTCGTTTGGATGTTACAAGTTTCGCAGGTTACCATTTGGCTTGGATCTGGTACCTGAATATTTCCAAAAAATTAATTATAAAAACTTTGGAGATCTTGAAAATGTTATAATATATTTTGATGATCTGTTTATAGCGTATGATACAGTTGAACAGCATGATAAGACCTTGGAAAAAGTATTTGTGCGAGCTAGAGAGAAAGGCGTGAAATTTGATAAACAAAAATTTCAATTAATGTTAGAAGAAGTAAAGTATCTGGGACATATTTTTAGTCAAAATGGTATGAAAATTGATAATGCAAAGATTAGGGCTTTTATTGACCTTAAAGCTCCTTCTAATAAAAAAGAGTATCAAAAGTTATTGGGGTTAGTCAATTATGTAAGAAAATTTATTCCAAAATTAAGTGAAATTTCTAATCCTCTATGTCAATTGCTTTAAAAAAATGTTGTTTTTCAATGGTTGGAAGTTCGGAAAGCACTTCAGAATATTAAACAAGAATTAGCAAAAAATATCACATAAAAAAATTTTGATTCAAATAAAAATATTGTTATTCAAACAGATGCATCACAAAATGGCATTGGTTGTTGTTTGATCCAAGAGGGTAAGCCTGTAGCATATGCTTCTAGGAGCTTGACTGCTGCTGAAAAACAGGATGCAGTCATTAAAAAAGAAATGTTAGGGATTGTGTATGCGTGCCAAAAATTTCATTATTATATTTATGGTCGTCCCATTAAGCCTGATGTAGGTAAGTGTTTTAAATAAGCAAATATCTTCAATAAATTCTCCTAGATTACAAAGGTGGAAATTAAAACTCATAAAGTATATTATAAAAATTGAATACATCCCAGGTAGGTATTTACATATTGTAGACTATGCGTCTAGGAATATCAGTTCTGAAAAGGCTGAAATTGATAGTGAGATGCAAGAAACGGTGCATGGGGTGGAAATATATTTTCCTACGAGCGTGCGCAAGGTAGTACTTTTCCGCACGCATTTCCGGGCTCAAAGTTATACTTTTCCGCACTCAGTTCGGAATCATTCATGTAAGACAATTATTGCACGGGAAAATAAGGATTTGACAAATTAATTATTCATATAATAATGATTATGATAAAATTAACTTACGATCTATTGAGGATCCGAATCAAACTTGTGTTTCTGCAGAAAATAGTCCTACTAGGCATACTTCTGATTCACATACGCAGACTTTGAATAAATTAGTCTAATCGTATTATTATGAAGCCAAGTGAATTTTCAGATTTTGTTATGTATTAAGAAAAAGTTGAAGTTATTGGTATTAGGTTATTATTAATTATTCTTTGGTTCCATTAGTAATTATATTAGTTACTAGTAGATATTTGTTTGGGTTAGTTATAGTTATTAGTATTGTATATTTAGTTTTTTTGTTCATCGAGGAAAGGGGAAGGTGTAATAATAGATATAGTTTTATTTAAATTAATGTACACAGGAGACTATGTACAACACCTATAATAAATACATAGGTGAGTTTCAGTTGTTATGTTGACATGGAAATAATAATAATTGGTTAGATATTGTTCACATCATATTCATAATTTAATAAAGAACTTGATACAATATTGAGTATAACAATATTATTACAGTCGCTGCTTACACTGACTAACTGTCTCAGTGTTCACTATAGTCCACACTAGTGTCCGCGCACCATTCTGCAATCGGCAATTTACTTTGCAGTCCTCGAATTATCTCACTTCCGACACCAATGTCACGGCTCTGGGGTGCGTGACAGAAATCTTGGGTTCGTTTATTCCAAAATCAATGTCCAATTAGCACAACAATAATTTATTCCCACGTTACTACACACTCTGACATTAATTACTTCACTAATTAACTCAAACAACTTAACTCTTTACAACGCGATAATTTTTTTTGCCCGAATAAAGCAGTATTTTCTAGATTCCAAGTTAGATTCTGTACATGCTGGCGAACGCGCCACAATATTATCACATTATTAGACCTAGTGCAGAATATATCTTATGTTCTGACCTAAATGAGCCAAAATGAGTGATCTCATTTTCATCTCATCGAACAGGTTATAAAATTATTGTTTACCTGTATAACGCCTCCTCCGTCTCCCCCTTTGCGATGAAGAAAATCTTCAGGGAGACCAATCATTTTTCCTAACCAATTGACCACAACCATTTCTAATTCTGTGCAAACAGGACTGGAAGCCTGAGGAAATTAGTAAAGTGATAGTCATAGACAAAAGCCATAATAATAAGTTGCAATAACAACAACAAAAAATATGAAGCGTAACATTATTATTATAATATGGATGAGTTAGAAATTTAAAAACTGTTATGATTAAGTACCTATACTGAATGATCCTATGGAATATTTTCTAGAAGCTGGTTCATGGCTTGAAAATATTGCTAGGAAAATGGTAAAAGGAAAAAAGCAGAAAGTAAATAATTCAAAAAATGTGAGACAAATTCTAGATATCAAAATCAATACTCAGAAGTAAAAAAAAGTTACTCTTTGAAAATAGTTAGTTTCACGTTTATTTTTCGAGGGATTTTGATGGCCTTTATGAAAAATTCATGAAAACCAAGTAAAAAATGTCCAAATTAACTTACCCAAGTAAACCCTATACAATTTATGGCGTTACTCAACATTTCTCCCAACATCGAAGGGTAACTATTTAGCGCAGGGAAATAGGCATGCATGTGTGGACTTTGCCAATGAGTGACTCCTGGCATAATCACTTTTTCCACATCCTTGAAAATATTCTCCCAGGATTCGCCTTTAACTGGTGCTGCGTCAGGAATAAGGTTCCTAATGAAGCCTGGCTTTTTGTCTGGAAATACTCTGCGGTCTCGAATGTTTTCCAGGTAATCGGCTATGTAGTCGATTAGTTCCTTTCCTAATAACCAAATGGTTGTACTACTATGAAAGAAATCTTTATTTTCTAACCATAAACGATAAACGACATAAATTGAAATAAAGGAAAATTTCGTAGTAATGTAGTATAGCCAGAAAATCCCCTACAGCTATATAAAGTGACTCGGGGATAAGCGTTATAGTTTAATAAGGAAACAATCACATATTATTGTAGGGCTGACATTTATGGTTTCTGGATCGCTCCGTAATCTGAATTTATTTTGGTTTTATCACTTTTATTCGGTAGTGTTAGTGTTAGGAATATGTTTTGCATATTGTATCCAACTTTCATTTATTTGATGCTCTAAGAGTTCATGTACTATTTTTTAAACCCATATATTACTGAAATCATTAAAAATGTTTACCTTTAATTCGAAATTCCTTACTGTCCATTTTCCTCAGCTGCAAATAAAAATTTGAAGCCGCTGGGTATACTACTGGAAAAAAAAACCTATTTATTCCAAAAATATATTATAAAGTTGCACGGTACATCTAATTCGTGGATAAGTAGGTATTTTCAATATTTTCATCTAAGTATCCTAATAGTAATTTGATATTGTCTATAGCGTATTTAATTCAGTAGGTAGGTATGTTGGTTATATAAGCCTAATCCCATTTACAAGGGACTATTGATTAGATATTTTATACTCCTAAAATTAATTTATACGAATTAAAATATTAAATGAATAAAATTTAGGCAGAAAAACATAATAAAATTTTGAAGAGAAAGAAAATTTTGAATATTAGTTTTTTGACAGGAATTCAAAAAGCCATTGAATTCACATGCAGCTGAATGTTCTATTTATATTGAGAAATAAGAATGAGTTTAAACATAAAAATTATGGTTTATATTTTGTAAAAACAACAACATATTTTATTAATGGATAAATGCCTAAATTCCAAAAGGAATTGTAATTAAATTTCAACCAACAAATACAATTTCATTTAGGCTATTCCTCTCATAAGGATTTTTGTAGAATTCAGGGCAAAAACAGATTAAGCTCCAAAATTAAATTATGTCAAATAGTTATGTATTTTGTGAAGTCTTGTAAATTGATTGATAAAGTGGAATCCCTATTCCAGAATTTATTTGTTGTGTTTTTCATTGAATAAACTACTATAATGCTCTAATTTTATAGCTTAATAACTATTAAAAAAAAAAACTTACCAAGTAGCTAACGATAGTTATAACACAGACAAAAAATTAGGGACACAACGAACCAGGGTGAATCACTGAAGCCAAATAGCTAACTGGAAGAAGCAACAAGTAGCGCTACAAGCCTTATATAGGGTTTCCTCCTTCTCCTGGAAAAACGAGAATTGAAAAAGCTTTGTGCATTTTTTGAATCTAGACCCTATAAATAGTAAATACAGGAAAACTACGAAAAACGTTTTCATAATAATTAATAACGTTTCACCAATAAAAATCAATTGTCGTAGAGTTCTAAGAATTATCTATGTTACGAAAATTATTCATTTTAGTGTGATATTTAGAGAAAAACAATTATTGGGAAACGTTTCAAGATAACATAACATGATTAGTGAGTATCGCTGTTTAATTAGTTGGCTTATTTTTCAGAAAATAAATAGACTTCCAATATATTAGGTGGTTATTTTAATTCAGGAGTGTCTTGATTTCTGAAAAATAAAAACTAATTTTAGAGCTTAATGATGGTTATTCATTTTTATCTATCTTCAGACAGTGTCAATACCAGACTTATTTGTTGTAATGTGTTGAAATAAAAAAAACATCAAGGAAGCAATTCTTTTATAAATCATCTATCACTTTTTACCAAGACATCACAAACCTTCACCCCCATATTCACACTCGACTAAGGCGGACTTTTCAAAACAGGATAATTTCTAATGTTGTTCCAGCGAACTGGCCTAATAGGTTTCCTGATATTACCCTTTCAGACTTTTTTCTATTGTGGTTCGTGTGAACCCCACAACAATGTTGAGAAATTAGAACAGAAAGCAAGAGATAGGTAGGTACTTTAATTTTAAATAGCATAAATGTCAAAACAATTCGCAGTTGAGGCATTCCGTTACGCAGAAAATTCATGATAGCAGCTGTAAGAAAAAAATGAACCTGTTGATGCCCGAAGAACACTGAAACGTCTAATTCAAAAAAATATTATATAACTTAAGTAAGCATACGCAAAAACAAGAATGTCCTTACAGATTTGCCACGTATTGCAAGAGAAAAAATTAGAGCATGTGGTCAAGAACGTTTCCCAAAATAATTTAAGAACCAAAAGAGCTACGGTTTTGAGTTACAAATATATTGTCCGTCGATTTTAATCTGATACTCGGACGGAATGTGAGCTGGTGGCTCCCTACATTAGAACGCCAATAGTTACCTGACGTCACACCGGTTTTTGATATATGAAACACCCCCTCGCTCCTCATACGGAAAATGTCAGTTAAAAATCTACGAACAATAATTTCCTACAAATTTTTCCATGGATTTATTCGTTTCTGTATCTTCCAAGAGATTGAAATATATTTTTGAAGAGAATGGCGATCTTTTATTCTCTGTGGTGAAAATTTCTTGTAATAGGCATATCACTATTCCCCATATCACTACTAGGTATTCCATTTATGCAAGTTTTCCAATTTCTGAGAATCAATGCCTACTCTCGGCACAAGTGAGGTTGTGGCAATAAAACCAACAAAAATTTGAAGTCAAGATTTCAACATCTATAGGGCCAAGATTTTTTGAGAGCGTAGTTTTATATCAACAAGCTTCAGTCGTCTCTGCAACATTATGAAGAATCTGCTCCAGTGCAATTATGTACTACTTTCTAATCCTGAAGATATTCTGGTTGTTTTCTTACGATTACTTCTGCTTCGCTTGGTGGTTCTTTTTGTGTATCTTCAACTTCTACTTCTCTGAAAATCTGGATTTTTGATGGATGCTTCGTCTCCTCGTCGTCATTCAACTTCAAATCCATCTCTTCTTTCCCCTTCTGAATTCGTGAGAAAATGTGATTTTGGCAGGCCAATCTGTAACAAATTTTTATCAAACCCGAAATAAGGACTGTGATGGATTTTCTTATCTTCAGGACGCCATAATCTGCATCCGTTAGATCATCATGTAACATTCCTTTCACCTCGCCGCTAAATTTTTCCTTTCTCACATATCTTGGTGGATAAAGATATTATGTAAAACAACCAAAAATTATCAGTTTTCCTCTTTAGTTGGACGTTAGATGACTTGAATAGGCTGCTATCGAAATTCATAGAGGATAAAAAAATAGCACTAGCCACTTTTGTCTTGACATAGCCTTAACCACGCATTGCCATATTCGATTGGAAAAGCCCTGGAAGAAATACTCGTTCCAGGAACACCCAGTCGATGGATCAAAGCCAGACTTAAAAACAGGATTATCGTATCTACTTATGGCGAGGCAACACCTAAAGCAGCAGTCGACAGAAGATGTCCTCAAGGAGGTGTACTATCCACACTGCTTTGGGCCATACTAGTGGATGGGTGGTGGCCTTGTAACATGTGAAATGATACAGTTAGTATTTTTTCCTTTTTTTTTTTCAATTATAATATAAAGTTGAATTATTACTTTTAATGTTGACATTCTGGTGACGGGTATTAAAGACAAAATGGCTTCTGCTGCTAATAATATTAGCAATTATTAAACTAGAGGGCTCGATTTTCGTTTAAATTTGAAGTACCAGTTTAATACCAACGCTTTCCGTTGGCTATTTTTTGGAAGGAATCTCTGCCTGTAAAGATTGTCCGTTTCTTCGTCCCTTATTAATCTTACCGTTGCCCTGAAAACTCGACTCTGGCTGGGGGAGCAGCCATCTTCCTCAACTGTGGTTACCGTTCTCGTGAAGAAAAATACCTTATCGGCCAGCAGGCACTGTTTTAACGAAATAAAGTTGCGTAACGCAATAATCCATTCAATACCGAAAAAATGTAAGTTTTTTTAATTTACTTAAAGTGTAATGGTTGTCCATGGAATGCCTCTATTGCTTAGGCTCTTGATGTGATTTCCTAGAGGAATCAAGCCCCTCACGTTTCGATACCTGTACCCCCACATTTGACGAATGAAACTCAAATTCTAGCCTTGATATCAGGCTAGAATCTGCATCTACATCCCTCGTCAAGTAGCCAAAAATGGATGGCTATCGACTACCATACTCTACCTTTTCATTGGAATTGAGGCTTGTATAGAGTTTCTTTTTCTATAACTTTTATTACCTTTTTTATGAAATTTATTTTATGAACAATTACCATAATTAATTGGATTTTTACCGACAGTACATTTAAATATTTGAAATTTCAATTCCATTTCTTGACACCTAAGTGAACTTTAAGTAATTATTTCCGAGTTTTGATTCAGATACCGTATTTACTTTAGATTTTATCTCTACTTAAGGCCGCGTTAATGGCCGCCATGTTTAAACTGTCATTGGTTGATTTTTCGAAACTTGTTTTAAGGTCTTTAAAAAAACGGCACCTCAGAATAGACCGATCTCCTATTACCTGGACTGCCCGCGTCGCTTGTAGGCTGCAGGTGAGCATCCAATGAGAAGCAAGTTTGTGACAGGCTTGCGTCATATTCTTATTCAGGAGCCATTTCAGAATGAATCGTTCCTTCTTTCTTTGTAACGTATAATTTGACAAAGAGCAAACTAATACTTTACATATTACTTGAACTCACCGCAGTGTCGTTTAAGGTTTTGTTAGATTATACTTGACATATTCCTTGGCAATTTCATTGAATGATGTTGCCGGATGAAACATTTATCAAAATAAAAGTGCAAACGATGTTCATCCAGTTTAAAGCTCTTCTTTTGTCTGATTTAAGGCGTTGTAAAACACTTGACACTATATCACTTCTTTAATGTTATAATTTTCGATTTGTATTGTCTACATTTGTTCTACAACAATACAATCTGGCTACACTGCAGCCTACGAGTTGCGCGCGCATGTCATCTTTTATTGCTTTCCAACTTGTATTTATTATAATTAAGCTCTCTTTTCCTAATCATGCGAGATAGGTCTATTGGCTCAAATTTGGCATAAACATTATTTGATCGATTATCTACAATTCCTTATTTTGGTTTTTCGATATTCAGCCTTTTTTTAAAATTCAAAAATCATGTTTGCAACCACCAAAACTATTAAATGTGTTAGTGGTTGCATATTTGCATGTTTATCAAGCTTGTATCCGTGAAAAGCATATTTTATTGATAACCACGAAAAATTAAAAAAAGCTAATTTGTAGAGATTGTAGATCTGTAGCAGAGTGGTAAACAATGGTATGTCCATAAATAAAAAAGTTCAGTAAAGAAGAAAACAAGTTGAAATGCTAACTCACTTCAAAATTTGACTTATTTTTATACACGGTACCAAGCTGTTATTATGGTATGCTGCTTTACTTAATTAGCAGTTTTGATAACCAATACAATTATTTCAGCCATACTTACCTGTATCTTGATTTTGGATTTACGACTTTTTACCTCAATTTGAAAAAACAGGTAATCATTAAAATAGAAGTCTTATATTGCAAAACCAGTTTTATTGCTTATCGCTAACATGATTAATGAGCACAAAATACTTTAAAAAATGTAATTCTCTTCAAGAAGATGTCCTAGACAAAAAAGATTATGATTTGTACAAGGCAGAATTTATTCGCTGTCTTCTTCATCGGAACTATCTGACCTTTTGTTTTACAACAATATTTTTCAACCTAATCAACATATTATGTCTTTTATCACCTTTCCTCATTTCAAAACACTAAAAATACTTTAAAAAAATCAGCAGCACGCCGTTTCGTGGAGTTATTACTGTTTACCACTAAGAATTTTGATGGTAGGTAAACATTAACAGTATGTAAAGGACATACTATTCTTTACCCCACTAATACATGGAGTCTTTTCAAAACAAAAAATACAGGCAACCAACAAAGCGGGACTTACGATTTTTTGCCACAATAACAAATTGAAAGCGGGCACTTCGAAAATGATATTAACTCAATATTAATTTATTAAAAGTGGAGTTACGACTATTTACCTCTCTGCTACAGAGATAATATATCAAATAATGTTTATGCCAAAGGATTTTGGAAATTATTGCGAATTTTTTGAGATGTCCTTAAAACGAATTTTGAAGATGAAAACAGTTCAAGCAATGTCAAGTAGATGACACTACGGCAAAAAAGCTACATTGGGAGCATTTTCGTTGTATATTTGTCTTTCTTTGTCACTAAGTGTTTCACCGAAAAACAGATTTTGTTTTGGACAAATAATAAAATATTGACCCTTATGTGTAGAGTGACGCAGTCGTCATTTTCAATAACTAAATTTAAACATGGCGGCCATTAACGCGGCCTTAACTTTTAGTACAACCATATTTAAAGAATGTACTCATATTTTATCAATGATAATCAATCAGTAA